AAGGTCTAGGTTATGACAACGGTCAGTGAGTCTCATATCCTTATCCTTCAGTGGTCATGTTCAACACTTAACATAAGTGCTAGTGTAATCCTTCAGTCAAAGACCAACTGAATCCGGAATACACTACAGTCTTTTTCCAAGTGGGGTCTCACTGCCAGTCTAGACTGTGAACGAATAGTTTAGTCTTATAAGGAACCGATAGGTGATCTTTCCGTTCGAAACTCTTCGAACCACACTATCTCAATATAAGACATAGAGTATGTATTGCATAAATAAATAAACTGCAAACATATGTACTTTGACCGAAACATGATTGCCAGATCAAAATAGAATTGATAGAAACTGCAAAACACAGCTTTTACAGCATACCTCTAATACTATATATAGATTGACGCACCGCAGACCTGGGGGAATTATTTTTTTGCGAAGAGAAAGAAATACACGCAGTAAAATAGCCGCCAGGCAGAGGAAAAAAATAGAGAGCAGAGAAGACGCACGGAGAGGAATACGAGGGGAAGCCGATCAATTGCGGAGGGAGGCCGCATCCGCACACGAGGGAGATAATTAATCTCTCTCTTTTATCTTTTTATTTTTATTTATTATGTTAGAGTAGTTTTTATTTTGAGTTCCGGGGATGTCGAACCCTACGTACTTGATGATGTTTGATTAATTATGGTTGATTATTGAGTTATCTTTTTGGAACTAGTACAACGCCCGTGTATTACACGGGTGCTTACTAATTTTTTCCTTAAAATCTAAAATTATTGAGAAAAAGTAGTTGAAAATTTAAATAACTTTTATAAATATATATTATTATATATTTAGTATGACACTTTTTATTTGTGTGACTTACTTGTGTTATATTATAATAATCTTTTTTTTCCAAATATAATAATTTTTTTAACTTACAACATATAACTACATTAAACAAAAATATATCAACTGAGAAATAATTTTATTTTTCTAATAAAATTTAAAATATTATTTTTTATTATTATAAAGGTAAATATTATTTATTTATTTTATATATACAATATGGATGTCATATCGAAGATCATGAAAAGATGATTAATTTGATATATTATATATGTAAAACCGATAAGAAATACAAAAGTTATCAATTTTTAAAATAAATTTATAATTCAATAGCTAATTGAAGGAAACAAATCAAAAGTCAGGGATATATTAGTCACTTAGTGTCTCACTATGTAAAATTACAAAAAATTAAAGGGTTATATTAGTACAAGTGATATTAAAATACCTAAGTTAGCTAAATAATATTTATGGAATGTCCGAACCTAGATATTAATTATTAATATATCAATATTATATGTCCGAACCTAATTACGAAGCATGATTCTTCGCCAAGTAGGATTCGGAAGCACCAGAAGCAGCCACGTAGGTTCAGCGCATTCGGGAATTATATATAGGGGTGATTGTTTGTGTTATTTTGAATAATTAACCATGATGTGTTGAGTCTTATTTAGATTGATCACCTAGATTAGGCTTTACATATCTACTGCTAGATTCAAACTGTCAATCCGTAATTGTTGATATGTTTAATCAATTAGAGGCTACCGAAAGATGGTAACTACCGGGATAACACAGCCTAAGTAAGTGAATGAAAATTTCGCTACTTAGTCTAGCCTATTTTTCTAATACGTAAAGCGGCTGATTGTATTAAATCTAAGAAGCGTTTTCTAGACTGTACAAGAAGTCAGGTCTAATCGTAGAGCGTCTCGCGGTTATATTAAAAATAAGGAAAAATTCGGGTAACAGACCGTGTCGTTGGGTAGGGCTTGTAATTTTATAAGATAGCGAGATTTGATACCAAAGTTGATTAGACGAGTCAGTTGAGGGTGTAGACGGAACCGTGAACTAGAAATTTCTCTTTATTTATTTATTTTATTTTATTTTTATTTTCATTGTTTAGATTTTATTCTTATATAGATTAGTTATTAATCCAATCCCCCCATTTATTGCTTTCTTAATTTCAATTAATACAAAAATATCACAATTTGATTCACACTCCCCGTGGGTTCGACCCTTGCTCACTACTACTACTAGTTGGTAGAAGTCGGTTAAGGAAAATATAAATTTAATTTTGCCGCGTTGCGACCGCGCGAGAATTATATTCTATAATAAAATATTTTTGCAGAGAATGGGATGCAGACTGGCGAAAAGACAGATTCACCTTCTTTGTCAGATATCGGCAGCTCCCATTGCCTTCCATCAACTTCAAGATCGTCTCCAACTTTTTCGAGCATTCCCGACTAAATG